GACTTCAATCAGTCTGTGTCAAATTGTTTTTTAAAAACTTATTCTAACTTTAAAAAGAGTTTTCAAAGCTGTTTGCTTTTGAAGCTAAATACTGAAAAAGAAAAATACAAAAGCATATCTTCAATAATCACGGTATAAGGATCAGTTTGAAAACATGTTTCAAATCTTTAATGTGGTGATTAGAGAGATGATTTATGTACAAATAAAGATTTGATATAAAGAAGGATTTGATAAGTGTACTATATATCTTGTTGGTGCACACTTTTCTACTGTATAAAGATTTGAAGTCAAAAAAAGGGGAAGGAGTCAAACAAAATTGAGGCTCTTTGTGATTACCCCACTTCGAAAATGAAACAACACACACACTTTGTCCCCAGATTCCTTTCTTTTGTCTCATTTCTCGTGTTTCTCCCAAAGCATTCAACAAAAACACAATCCTACTCTCAAATTATTCTCTTTATATCTTTAAAGCCAAACAACACAACAAAACTAGTATTAGATTAATTACTTAAACAAATTAAGATCCACATTCCACAAAGACAACAAATTCAATACAACTTTTTTATTCTTTAAAATAGGCATTAATGCATATGTTTCCACTCGTCATTTTCGCCTAACTTATTTTTGTGAACAGGCTATGCTTATGTGTATATTTACAAAAAAATAAACATGCGGTCAGAAAAACCGATATTTTTGTGCGTAGAAAATGTTGAATAAAAAAACATACAATTTGTAAAAAAGAGACACAAAATCAATGCCAATGTATTTAGAATTTTGCCATCTTCGTTATTTGCAAATATATCAATTAGTATTTGCGAGTAAACTATATTTGTCAATCTAATGCCTAATAATAATTAAAAAAAAATTCCCAAATCGAATAACTTGTGACACCTGTATATTGAACTAAAAAGCAAAAGACAAATCTACACTTATTAATGAAACTATTACATTACACTCTCTCTTTTCTTTTCTACTTTTTATTTTCCGAAAATCCTCTACAAAGATGAATTGGTGGGTCCAAACCACAGTCGATCTCTGTCAAAATGTATTATCTTCTCTCTCACACCAACACACTCACTACAACGACA